ATGTGAAGTCAGAGACAACTAGGAGCAGAACCAGATCCCATGTCTTGGAAACAAGGAGAAACTAAGTTAATAGAGGACATTGAAGATGCCCCACTAAAGCCAGGCATGGTGGCACACACTTTTAATCTCAACACTCAGGAGATTTGAGACCAGCCTGGTCTACAAGAGCAAGTTCCAGAACAGCCTCCAAAGCCACAGAGAAACCCTGTCTGGAACCCAGCCCCCCCAAAAAAAAAAGAAAAAGAAAAAGGAGAAAGATACCTTATTACCTATTTCTGCCTCATAATTTAGCCCTACTCTACTTAGAAATGTCGTTTCATTTATTTGGCAGTGTTAGTAGAAGGACAGCACTTGGTGGCCTGACACAGGAACACAGAGGACACTGACAACCATGGCATACCATCCAAACTACTCAGACCATTACTCTGGTCTGTGTGCTGGACAGCTGCATTTTACCTTTAAATTACTGTGCTCAAGGACAGATGGCTCCTGAAAGGCTGGAGGCTATTGTATGGGAGATAACAGCCACAAGTTCTTCACTTCCCTAAACAATCAAAGGACCCAGGTTCAGTTCCCAGCAACCCACAATGACTCACAGGCCACCTGTAACTCCCGTTCCAGAAGATGCCTTCTGACCTCCACAGAGTCCAAGCACACACATGGTGAACAAACATCCGTGCAGGGCTAAACCATCATTTAATAGTAAATAAAGTGGTGTGTGTGTGTGTGTGTGTGTGTGTGTGTGTGTGGTCTCTAAGGGGTCATACTACTGAAATCAAGGGGGACAATGTAAAAGGGAATGACCTGAATTTGCTGAAAAGGCCGCTGAGCAGACATGTCCTTTTTCTATCTCACCTCCATTATGCCTCCTATCCCAAGTTCTCTGCACTGCTATTTACCCACAAGGAAAAACTCCAATGATGAGGACAGGGAGGGGCTTCTAGAGAGATGGCTTGGTGGCTAAGAGACTTACTGCTCTCACAGAGGGCATAAGCTCAGTTCCCAACACTCACAAATGCCCGTAACTCCAGCTGACCAGAAACTTCTGGATTTCATGGGCACGTAATTTAAAAATAAATAATTAAAGTAAGAGAAGAGGGAAATGGTGCTTACGAGATAGACAGAAAATGTTTCTTAAGCCCCATATACATCTTGCACATGAGGGCTGTCACTGGGACCCCCAAGTGATGTGTGATGCTCCCTTAGAATTTATGGATACCTGGACCTTTACACCATAACTAAAGAAGTCCAAGGATTCCTTACTTGTTCTAACATAAATAAGCCAGCTTTGAGACTACAGCCTTCTGGAGGGAGGAGCCCAAAGCTAAGGCCTTTTCAGAGTGTACAGGTTGACTATATGGAAATGCTGAAAGCTGGCCACTTACAATATTACTGGGAGTAACTTAACTCACTGGAATCAGGCTATACCTCTACCTAGAGCTATTCCTGATAACATAGTCAAAACACTTGGTCAAGACACCATGACCGGAGCTGGAGAGATGGCTCAGAGGTTAAGAGCACTGACTGCTCTTCCAGAGGTCCTGAGTTCAATTCCCAGCAACCACATGGTGGCTCACAACCATCCGTTATGAGATCTGGTGCAAAAAAAGACACCATAACCAACAATTCTAGCATGTAATGGGGGTGGGGGGATGGGTGGTGGGGCTTACAGTTTCAGAGGTTTAGTCTATTTTCATCATGGCAGAGAGCATGGTGGCATGCATGGTGCTCCAGCAGTAGCTGAGAGCTGTGTGTAGGGAGACACCCTAGCCCCGCCCCAGGTAACCCGGACAGGTGTGCCAGGATACGCCTGTGAGGGTGGGGTGAGGGGAAGTCTGAGATGACGTACAAGGAGGTTTAAAAGGAGTGGGGCTCACGTAGAAAGCCCCTTCTCGCAGCCCACGCTAGCTTGCTACCTATGGGCTCGCTCTGGCTTGCGTTTTGGACTGGTGTTTACCTGAATAAAGAAGTCTTAGCCTCACGGACTACAGTTCATCTTTGAGCACACCTGGCAACCAATCAACAGTTGGCACCCAGACTCTGAGACCCCGGGAGCTGCCGCTACACATCCCGGGCCTCTGCCTTCAGCCAGGAAAGGCTGCCAGGCCCAGGAGCAGCAGGGAGCACCCCGCCACGGTATCTCCACAGTGAGTTACCCATACTGCTTCTCCCTACGTGGCAACCAATCAACAGCTGTGTCTTCATCCACAGGCAGACAGAGCATCTTTGAAACCCCAGAGTCCACCCACAGCGACCACTTCTGCCAACAAAGCCACACCTCTTCCTAATCCTTCTCAAAAAATGCCAATCTCTGATGACTAAGCATTCAAATAAGTGGGCCTATGGTTGTCATTCTTATTCAAACCTCCACCAGGAGAAAGGATGAATCAAGTTCTAAAAAAGGCATTTGACCAAATTAATACAAAATAACCCTGACAAGACATCTCCCCGTTGCCCTCCTAAAACTGTGCCCCTTGAAGGTACACAGAACCATCACCACACAGGATGCTACACCATTTACCCTACGGAAACCTACTGGATGTCCCCATCCTCTAAAACCAAGGACCAGTTTCTCAGGGACTATGCACTTGGGTTGTTTTGTACTCTGCCCTCTCTTGGGTGGCAGGGACTATTAGCCCAGGCAACACTGCTCAAGTTAACGGCCCAGAAGCACAAGCCAGGCAGCAATGACCTGGTCACATTCCAGAGAGAAGGAAGTGAAATGGAAGGAAGAAATGGAGGAAGGACCCAACCAAGTCCCACTCTCTACTGAAAGGCCACATACTGTCCAAAGGGGCTGGACACATACACTCAAAAGAAGTCACTTGTAATTGAGGGGATGTCCAATGAGTCTGACCAAACTCAATGGAACATGCAGGAAGCACCAGACTATTCTTCAAAACAAAGCTTCAAGAAGCAGATAACACCCCTTACCCAGTCATCCTACACTGTAGTCCCAGTGTTGTTTTCAACCTGCTGCTATGTATTGTTATGTCAAGTTCATGAGACCCCAGAAAGACCACCAAGGAGCCAACTCACCAATGCAAACGCACAAGGTTTATTGTTAAGCTACAAGCTGTCCAGCTGTCCAGCAAACTGACACAGCAGCTGCAGGAAAAGGGTGCCTGGCCTCAATTTCAAAGGGTTTATAAAGGAAAAAACCTGCAAGCAGGGTGGTTCATGCCTTAGCTGTTTAGAATTGGGTAGGAGTAGGTGACCTTTGAATTCATTGACAAGGGTCTAGGGGAATTTCAAAATTGTCACTAACAGTTGCCCAAAGGAAGGACAGTTATGGCGAGAAGATGTTATTTACCAAAATTAGTCATTGCCTGACCACCCGGATGGGATCACTTTGACCAGAGTAGGCACAGTTTGGATGCTCCTTGGAACTGTTTATGGCTCCTTGGCTGGAGCTGAATCAGCCTTGTGCCACGCGGGGTATTTCTCAAGGTGGCTTTTTCTTAACTCCATCCTCACCAGTTTGCCTTGCTCTTTCAGCATGTGTGTCATGTTTGCCCTTATAACGTAGGCTTTGTGTTGCTGGTTCTCTTGCTGCCTTAAGCTCTCTGGTGCTATTTTAAACTCAGGATATTCCAAAAGGCAAACCCGTTTACTTGCTTGTGACGGGCTCACTTTAAAGACTATTGTTCCCTACGCAGGCAACTGACAGGGTTTTTACTACTAATGGAATCATAGTCGACATACTTCTGTCTATCCAATTTGATGTATGCTTGGTTATACCCTGTGGGAATACGAAAGGCCAAAGACAGCTCTCTGGGACAGACACGCACTCCTATCCCTTCAGAACTCAGGAAAGTTAAGCACAGTGCTTTAAAGGGCTCATTAGGATTGAAGTGTCATTTGGTGGACCACTCAGGATTAGAGATGGACTTACAACCCACCCTCCGCAAATGTTATGCAAACCCTAAAGGAAAACTTACAGGAGGTGAACAAAGTCCTCCAGCTTATCAGCATCAACAGTGTCACCCATAATAACACTAATCATGACACCAAGAATCCTCGATATTCAGACCTTAGGGACGAGGGGCAGATGTAAGAGCAATAGATTCCCGTAGGAAAATCTACCCTGAGACAGGTCAAGGGGAGAGGCCGACATGCCTCAGATCACTTCAAACAAATCTTTAAGTCATGTCCTTACCACCCCCTGGCTCAAGTCCAAACCTGTCCCCAATTTTCCATCACTTACACCCAAAAATTCTCCTAAGGACTAATACTCCAAGCTAACCATAATGGAAGCCAAAGACTTAAGACAGACCTTTAGCACTGAGACAGGTCGCAGAAACACAGAAGCCTGGGTTAGAATGGATAAAACACTCAGCCCATACGCTGGTTAAGAGTGGTTAGGATGTGTGTGGCTGGAGGACCCCAGACTCCAATAGTCCCCTTCCTGTTGGGTGGACCTTCAATCCAAATGGCATGCGTTGTATCATGTCCCTCTTCCAAGACTGAGGGGCCTGAAGCAATGTGTCCTATAGCATCTTGTCCCTGCTGTTCCCCCCGTCAAAGCCATGGTGCCCTGACTACCATAGAGCCCCCACCCCCAGGAGTAATTGCATGGTAGGTAGGAAGAGCAATCAACTCCAGTGAACCATGGACTGGGGCCCTGAAGGTCTGCCTTTTGAAGAGCTGACCACTCAGCTCTGGCAGTCGCACAATCAGATATCTGGAGGTATCGTGGAGGACTCTTATGTGAGGTCCAATCAGTGGACCAGAGCGACTTATACTTTAGTGCAACTGGCTACCTCTTTCAGTATGGCATTTAGACGTCCCCACCTGCCTTAGGGCCCCTCCTGCAAGAAGGGGGCGCTGTTAACCCTAGGAGACTCATTTGATCCCCATATTTATGTAGATGGCATAGAAGTGTCCTGGGGGAGTCCCAAATTCATTACTTTAATTAATTAACCTTGGAACCAAATAGCAACCAGTTTCAAGTCAGTCTTGTTCTGGTGGTCAACAGTTAATAAAAATCTAGATTGTGGTGTTGGCTTCCGCAGCACTACATGAAAACTGAAACGATACAGAGAAGACTAGTATGGCCCCTGAGCAAGGACGATGCAAATGCGTGAAGAGTTCCATATTTTTTCCTCCAAGAGCTCTGCTTCAGTTCCTACCTCCAGGTTCCTGCCTTGGCCTCCCTGTTGATGGACTGTAAGCTATAAGCCAAATAAACCCTTTCCTCTCAGAAAGAAGGAAGGAAAGAAGAAAGAAAGAAAAAAGGAAGAAGGAAAAAAGGAAGAAAGAAAGAAAAAAGAAGAGAAGTGTAGACTGTAGCACCTAGCCTACTACAACCAGAAAAGATTGCTTAACTGTACTGGAGATGCTGTCAAGGGCATAGCTGAACTACTGAACCCTAACAAAATGGATTGGGAAAATAGATTGGCAATTAACATGATTTTAGCTGAAAAAGGTGGAGTCTGTGTATGTGGGGAGGACAGTGCTGAACATTCATTCCAAACAATGTTGCTCCACTGTTACCATGGTTCTCACTAATGACGTACCCAAAAACTTAGGAATAGATGACCCCTTTACCAACTTAATGGAACAATGGTTTAGAAATTGGAATAATGATCACGGCTCTAACATCTATCATTATAATAGCTGGAGCCATGATTCCAGTAGGTTATTGTAGACAACCGTGTGTTCAAGGGCCAGTCCCAAGGCTTATAGGAATAGCTACTTCCAAATAGCTGCCACTCAGTACCCAAATAGCCCTTTCCATTAGACAGGGAAAAGAGGTCCAGTGTCTCTTAAGAGAATTTGAAGAAGAGAGTACATAACAAAACAGGGGGTTTGTGATCGATTTAATCTTTTCTATAAACAAGTTTAGTAGTCGTAGCGTGTTTCCTCCCAGGTCCTCCTCTTTTGCTGCTCTGTTAAGGACTGTGTGTTTGTTTAGCCAGATGTAATCTGTTTCTTGGAATGTCCATATGTCTGACACCCTGACTCATTGCCACAACTTCCTGGAATGGTTATCTGTTAAAATTTACCCCTTCAGGCTGGAGAGTTGACTCAGCAGTTAAAAGCACCGGACTGCTCTTCCCGAGGTCCTGAGATTGGTTCTTACTTGGCACCCACATGGTGGTTCACAACCATCTTTAACTCCAGTTCTGTGGGATTTAATGACCTCTTCTGGTACCTGTGGACACCAGCCATGCATATGGTTCACAGACATACATAGAGGCAAAATACCTATACACATCAAACAGTATTAAAAAGCATTAAGAAACCCATCCCTTCTCTCTGTATCCTTCTGTTTCCTTTGTTGCTAGTTTCCAAACTTGCCAATCAGGTGTAAATTGTGAGGTTGCCTCAGCCAGTGAGGGACAGCCAAGTCCCCCTTGAGCTAGGGTTAAAAGGTTGACATCCTTTGGGACTGGTTGTGCTTAGTTTCTGCCTTTCAACAGCTACACACCCTTTTGTGCAGAAGTAAAAAGTTTTGCTTTGTCAAACCACATTGTTTGATTGATTGATTGATTGACTGATTGATTTTTGGTTTGATTGATTGATTGACTGATTGACTGATTGATTCATTGATTGATTTTTGGTTTTTCCAGACAGGGTTTCTCTGTAACAGCCCTGTCTATCTTGGAACTCACTTTGTAGACCAGGCTGGCCTTGAATTGAGAGACCTACCTGCCTTTGCCTCCTGAGTGCTGGGATTAAGGATGGGCACCACCACACCTGACTTTTATTTTAGTTTTTGAGACAGGCTTTTTCAGTAACAGCCCTGGTTGTCCTGGCACTTGCTCTATAGATCAGACACTGCCTTGGACTCAGAGATCTGCCTTCTTCGGCCTCCCAAGCGCTGGGTTTAAAGGTGTATGCCAACACACCCGGCTCCAAAAATATGCTAATTTGGGTGGTGATTTCTTGGTTTGTCTTGTCTCTAGCAGCAGTATTCTGGGTATGGAGGCCCACATGGTTGGTGTCTTGTGAAGGGACCAGCCCCCCATTTCGGCAGCCATGACAGTAACACGTGCTAACCTTGTCTTAGTCACTAGAGGTTAGGTGCCTGCTTCGTGACAAGGAACCAATCAGAAGTTAGCTGATGGCGCTATGCTTTATGACCCTGGGTGTACTTTACGGACAAGCACACAGCAATGACGCACAGAGCATAGCAACCACCCTGAGCGGGCCTATGGGCCATAACAACCAGTTGGCCAATCAACACAGGGCAAGCCCTCCAAGCCTGGAGGCACACCAATCGTGAGCCTGTGCGTCCCCCTAGACACTCCCCTTACGCTGCCCTACAAGATCTCTCTCTGCAGCCGGTTCGAGCTGTCTTTTGCAAGCCATTGCCATGGTGGATGGACCAAAGACCCGAGCTAACAAGGGGTTAGCTCGTTAAATTACAATAAAGCCTCATGCAGTTCGCAGCAAGCTCTCGAATCTGCCTGGTGATTGGGGTGACCGCGGTCGTGGCCTGGGACCCCGGATACCTGAGTTTTTTGGGGGGTCTAACACTTGACTCTAGCCTGATGCCTGGGAGAGTTCCTGTAAAGGTTTCCAAGAGAAAGGTCTTGTTCCTGTTTTTTGATTTTCTTAAACCTTTGTTTTTATTTTTTTATTTTTAAAGATTTTATTTATTTATTATGTATACAACATTCTGCTTCCATGTATATCTGCACACCAGAAGAGGGCACCAGGATCTCATTACAGATGGTTGTAAGCCACCATGTTGTTGCTGGGAATTGAACTCAGGACCTCTGGAAAAGCAGTCAGTGCTCTTAATCTCTGAGCCATCTCTCTAGCCCCCTTTGTTTTTATTTTATGTGTATAGGCGTTTTGCCTGTGTGCATGTAGTGCCTGCAGAGGCTAGAAGAAGGCATTGGATGCCCTGGGAACAGAGTTACAGACAGTTGTGAGCCATCGATAAACACCCTGTCTGTGAAGCGTTTTTTTCTGTACATGCCTGTTATTTCTGTATGTGCCTGTTTGCTCAAACTTGAACATTTCTAAGACTGTCATCCCCTCCTTGTGTCCCTCACAAATTAGCAGTTGAGCTAAAGTCAAGGCTTCTACCAATGACATGAGATACAGTCACCACTTGCCTTAGCAGTGAAACTAAGTGAGCCATCTGCCCCAGTGTGCTTGCCAGTGAGGTTTGGCTTGTGACACACCATTAATGTAAAAAGTGCTTCACTTTCTCTCTGTGTGTCATTGTGCCACACTGGGAATATTCTTTTCTAACAGTTCTGAGGAAATCTACAGTTAGATTCCATTTTTTCTTGGGGGGGGGGGTTCGAGGCAGGATTTCTCTGTAGCTTTGGAGGCTGTCCTGGAACTCACTCTGTAGACCAGGCTGGCCTCAAACTCACAGAGATCCTCCTGCCTCTGCCTCTGGAGTGCTGGGATTAAAGGCATGCACCACCAATGCTCGGCTCAGTTAGATTCCATTTTACAAACCAGGAAAACAAAGCTGAGCAGAAGGAAGTCAGTCCTACAGAGTCACAAGCAAGGAGCCTGAGGGTCCAGGCTGCACCGTTCAGGGGGATTCAGAATTCAGGAACCTCCTCTCCCAGATGAGGCAAGAGATGCCCAGCCAGAAGCCTAGGTGGACTGCAGACGGAAGGAAGTACCTGCCTCCCCAGGGCCCATTCCATCAAAGAGTAACTGTCATCTAGGTGTGTTGGTAGCTGCCAAAACAAGCCGGAGGCCAAGGTCTGCTGGTGGAAAAAAGAATCCAAATTCCTGCCCAGGTGAGTTGCCTGGGCTTGTCTCTCTCAGCCTGGCGCCATAGCTCCTGGAGGCTTTCACCCCACTGGCTTTACAGGTCCCTCTGGAATGTTCTTAGAACCCAAGGAAAAGCTGCCATAGTCAAGGCCTTGCAGGAAGATTTGGAGCTCTCCCGTGCCATGCCCTCCTGAGCTTTGTGCAGCAGGGAAGCTGGCAGCCCAGCAAGGTTGAAGGCTGCCCTGAGCCCTTGGCAACAGTGGACCAAGATTTCCAACTAGCCTTCTGGGTGCCAGTCCTTGAAGATGAAGCAGGGACCCCGGATGAGCTCTACTTCTGGCTAGCCACCGCTGAGAACCCCCTGCTCCCCGTGTCTCCACCACCTTATGTCTCTCCTTGGTCTGTTGTTTCCTGTAGGCACTTTGCCTACTCCCTTTGTGAAAAATCTCATGGCCACAAAGCCACTGTTCAGTGTTCTTCACTGTATAATAAAGCCTGGATACCCCCTGCCCTGCCCTGCCCTGCCATGCCCCAGGCCCAGCCCAGAAGAAACTGGGTTGTCCTGTAGTTGAGCCTCCAGGCCCCCCCACCCCCACCCCTCTCCAGCTGCATCCAGTTCCGGGGTACCTGAATCATAGTTTCCACTACTCTGGCCATTTGTTCAGTTACAAGTACTCAAGTACTCAACGAGTACCTGTTTGTCCCTGCCTGTGAGGGTCAGGGCAGGACAGGTAGCAGTCACAGAAGTTTCCCACAGGACAGGTGGCAATATGGGAGACATTTGTGGTTCTCACAACTAGGGACAAGTACAAGGGATCATTTGTAGAGGCCATGGTGACTGCTCACAGGGCACAGGCCACTCACTATGGACCTGCTACTAATCTAAACAGTCAACAACCTGGACAGGTTTTTTTTTTCAACTGGGGGTGCTGGGGATGGAATTCAGGGCACCCCAAATTCTGGTTCAACACTCACTATTGAGTTAAAACCATAGCCTGGCATCCGGACCTCTGTGAGTTAGAGGCCAGCCTGGTCTACAGAGCTAGATCTAGCACAGGTAGGGCTGTTACACAGAGAAACCTTGTCTCAAAAACCAACCAACCAACCAACCAACAAACAAACAAACAAAATCCCCCCAAAACAAAAAAAACATAGCCCGGTAGTGGGTGGTTTTAAAGTGGGTAGTAGGTTGGGGGGTTTTAAAGGGCTGTGGTTCCAAGGAGCTAGTGGCTGTTGTGGGGAGGACCGCCTCTGAGAAAAGTGAACTCTGCTCCCAAGTGAGCATACCTGAGCTAGTCTTGTCTGACCCACCATAAAGACAGGCTGAGGGTGCTGGTGCCACAGTGCACAGAGACAGAGCTCAGCAGGCTCCCAGCAGTGCCAGGCCTGGGGGAATTCCAGAGAGAGGC